CCATGATCTGGCACACACTGCTCATGAAATCCCTCTTCCTCACACACACACCCCCTTCAAGTCACAAACAGGTAATCTTCCAGGGCAGCTAGTCCAAACTTTACCTGCAAAGCTTGAGAACTTGAAACAAAGGGAGAAACTGAGGCACTGCTTGCAGGAGACCCGTCATACTCCACAGACAGGCCTCCGCCTCAGCAGCCCTCACCTCTCAGCACCAGCACTATTCAAGTAGCACCAGTGGGGGGCACTTTGCCCTCATCCTGTCACTCTCTCAAAGGTCAATGATGTTCCTTTTTGCTGCTTGTGCGGGGCCATGTCAGCCTCAGACTGTCAGGGTCTCTCCTCTCTAGATCCGGCTGTCTTTGTGTTCCTGTATGTAGTGCACCTGTCGTTTATTTAATCCCCGTACCAGAAGCCCCTCTGAGTGTCTCTTATCCCAGCCAAATCTCTACTCCTGTATCTCTTTAGAACAGCAGTTGCCAACATTTCGGACCTCACGGACCACCAGAGGTCGGGGACCATCGGTTGGCGACTGCTGCTTTACAATGTTCAGCAGAAGCTTCAGTCATGTTTGTTTTTGCCCTATCAGGGAGTTCCATTCCTTGAGCACATAACTCTTAAACTTAAGTGCCATACTTTGTGGACCTCAAAGAGGGAGTTTATTTTTTTTATTTTATAACTTGGGTATGGATTGGTGCTCCTAGTTTTACCAGCACACTTGACACTTCCCAGTGATACAGTGCAAATATGTCCTGAATGTTATCCTGAAGTTGTCAAATCATCCTGTACTGCCCACCCACAGAGAAGGGGCTGGTCCTCTTCTAGCCCCAGCTGGGCACACCAGGGGACTCCATTGTAGTAAACCAGTTGACTCTCCAAGATAGCATTTGATCTAGGGCCCTAAAACTGAAGGCAAGGGGCCTGGCCCCTATGGCTCAGTGGTTGAGCATCGATCTATGAACCAGGAGGTCCTGGTTCAATTCCTGGCCAGGGCACATGCCTGGGTTGTGGGCTTGATCCCCAGTGGGAGGCGTGTAGGAAGCAGCTGATCAATGAATGATTCTCTCTCATCATTGATGTTTCTATCCCTCTCTCCTTCTCCCTACCTCTCTGAAATCAATAAAAACATATTTTAAAAAACAAAAACAAACCTGAAGGCAAGGGATCTGAGAATAGCCCTGCACAGTATCAATTGTGACTCTGCAGCAGATTTTGTTATCTCTACTTTAAAATGGGAGTGACCAACAGTTACCCTGGGTAACTGCCAAGGTGAGTAGTGTAAAAGCAAGCAGTTCCAGCAACAGAGCAGAGAAAGAAAAGGGTGCTTCCTTTTACTGGTGTCTCTTCCTCCTGGAACCACGCCAGACTTCCACCACCTATTCAATGGTGACACTTGCTAATGCAGGGCAATTTTTCATCCCCGAAATGTGAATCTCAGGGAAGGTTTCTGTCTAGGATACCGCTTGGCACATGATGGAGACCACAAAAGGTGGCAAAAAGGGTAGGCAGTGTCTGTCACCCCCTCCACTCTGAAGCTTGTTCAAAACCCAGCATGTGGATGAGTGAAAGCAGAATCAGGTTCCACTGATTTTTTCCCCTCTGGCCTGACGGCCCCTCCCCAATCCCAGTGGTATATCCACCATGACGAAAAGTTATCCAGAAGCTGTATCATCTAGCTGAGAACATAAGCTGCCCTTCTTAAGAGACTAAGGGCCCAAACCTTAATATGTTGCCAGGTTGGAGAAGTGAAGAGAGGGTAGCAATCAAATTCAACTGAGAAATTTAGGGGATGGAAGGTAAACAGGGGAGATGATCTGAACAGAATGAAGGCTCTAACTTGTCCGTCCAGCCTCCAGTACTCTCCCAAGGGCCCACCCTTCCCAGATATGCAGAACTCACACGTGCCCTTTGCAAAGAAGCTCTGTGTATTGGGTGCAACAGCTCTGGGGTCTCAATATAAATAATATACAAAACCCAACAGCTCAATGCCTCACATTAACAAAAATACTAAAAACTCATTAAAAATGGAGCCTGAGGGAAGAGCCCCAACCATTACTGGTGCTAGCCCAGGAAGGGGATTGAGAATTCAGAGAAAAGGGTGGGGCCACATCCAGTCACAAGCAGCTCCTCCAGATGGCTCAGTAGCGTCCAAATATGTTGGTACTGGGCTGTGGCTGGGTATCTGTGAAAAACCAGAGAGGATCAGGGGTGGGATGCCAAGCGGGGCTGTAGATATGCATGGGAAGAGCTACTCAGGT